ATAGTAACCAAAGAAGTGAAAGACATATATGAAAGGAACTTTAAGTCTTTGAAGAAAGAATTGGAAGAAGATATCAGAAATAGAAGTATGTTTTCTGTCCTTGGATAGGTAGGATCAACATAAAAACAGCAATCCTATCAAAAACAATTTATAGATTCGGTGCAGTCCCCATCACCATCTCAATACAGTGCTTCACAGACTTCAAAACACAGCAATACTCAACTTCATATGGAAAAACAAAAAATCCAAGGTAGCCAAAACATTTCTGTACAATAGAGGAACTTACAGAAGCATCACCATCCCTGGCATCAAGCTCAATTATAGCTGTACAGGAATGAAAACAGATTGGTATTGGCATAAAAACAGAAAAGTGGACCAATGGGACCTAATCAAAGACCCTGATATTTATCCAAACACCTATGAACACCTGATTTTTGACAAAGAATCTAAAATTATACGATAGATAAAAGGAAGCATCTTCAACAAATGGTGAAAGCTTACCAGCATGTCAGCACATAAAAGAATGCAAATAGATCTATATCCATCCCCATGCACAAAACTCAAATCCAAATGGATCAAAGACATCAATATAAATCCAGCTACACTGAACCTCACAGAAGAGAAGGTGGGAAGTACCTTTGAACACAAAGACCCAGGAGACCACTTCCTAAATGTAACACCAGTAGTACATGTATTGAGAGCAACAATAAATAAACAGGACCTTATGAAACTGAGAAGCTCTGTAAAACAAAAGGCATAGTCAATTAAACAAAAAGGCTGCCAACTGAATGGTAAAAAATCTTTGCCCACCCCACATCAGGCAGAGGACTGATCTCCAAAATATATAAAGAACTCAAGAAACTAGACTTCAAAATACCAAATAATACAATTAAAAATTGGGTTCAGATCTAATCAGAGAATTCTCAAAGAAGAATCTCAAATGTCCAGAAGACATTTAAGGAACTTTTCAAAATCCTTAGCCATCAGGGAAATGCAAATCAAAATGACCGTCTTACACCAGTCAGGATAGCTGAGATAAATAACAACAATGATAGCTTATGCTGAGAAGGATGTGGAGTAATGGAATACTTCGTTGCAGGTGGGAGTACAAACTTGAACAGATCCTTTGGAAATTAGTATGGCAATTTCTCAAAAAATTGGAAATCAACCTACCTCAAGACCCAACAATACCACTCTTGGGCATAAACTCAAAAAATGCATACTCACACCACAAGAACATTTGCTCAACTATGTTCATAGCAGCATTATTCATAATAGCCAGAACCTGGAAACAACCTAGATGCCCCTCAGCTGAAGAATGGATAAAGAAAATGTGATACATTTACACAATGGAGTACTACTCAGTGGTAAAAAACAAGATCTTGAAAAACTGCATGCAAATAGATGAAACTAGAAAAAAACATCCTGAATGAGGTAATTGAGAAACAGAAAGCCAAGCACAATATATACTCACCCATAAGTGAATATTAGACATAAAGCAAAGGATATCCAAGCCAGAGTCCAAGAACCCAGAGAAGCTAAGTAACATGGAGAACCCTAAGAAAAATGTACGGATCCCCTGGGAAGGGGAAATAGATCAGATCTCCTGAGAAAATTGGGAGCATGGGGGTGGGGAGAAGAGCGAGTGCACAAGTGTAGAAGGGAAGGTGGAAGGAGAACTGGAGGAATCAGGATGGTGGAGACAGGGAAAGGAGAGAGAGAGAGAGAGAGAGAGAGAGAGAGAGAGAGAGAGAGAGAGAGAGAGAGAGAGAGAGAGAACAAGTAAAGTTTGATATTTTGATTGAGGGAGCCATCATGGGGCTAGTAAGAAATCTGGTACTAGAGAAATCCCCAGGAGTCCACAAGAATGACCCCAGCTAACACCCTAAACAATTATGGAGAGGATGTTTGAACTGGTCTTGTCCTGTAATCAGATTGATGACTACCTTAAATGTCATCGTAGAACCTTCATCCAACAACTGATGGAAGCAGATGCAGAGAAACACAGTAGAGCACTAGACTATGCTCCAAAGTCCAGTCAAAGAGAGGGAGGAAAAGAGGGGGAAGGGTGATGTCATTATATAATAATCTAAAATATTTTTTAAAAAGTTATAGTAAAAAGGAAAATTAGAAAAGAAGAAAATATTTGGCTTGCTAGCATCCTTAGGCTCTTGGAAAAAATGAAAACAGATATTCTTGGAGCATATTTGAGATGTCCATGATGGCAGTGAGTGTGAGAGCGAACTATCATGAATACAATGAACATGAATACAATGAACCGATATTAGGAGGACATAGGTAGATGTAACGAGGAGATGCTTGGAAAACAAATGAAACTCACAAATGTACTGTGAGAAAGAATCATAGATGCTGTAATAATTTTAATTCAAAATTAACAAGCTAGTTCTTTGGGGTTCTTTGCTTTCTTTCTCTTCATAAGACTTTATAGAAATATTCATCTTCATGGCCCTTTCTGAGAACATTTTAGTACCCGTGAATATTAGAACACATTTATTGTAAATGCAGCAAATATTCATGTATATGGTTTATATCTCATTGATATCATTCTTATTCTTTGTAAATTTTACCACTATTATCTAACGTATGCATTTAAATGTTTCAACTGAGATTCCAAAATATTCTGTGTATCTAATGCTTTGAATCTGTGGTAGTTCAGCATGCAGTCAGCCTCCCGTAGTCACATATTCAATTAGCCACAAATTTCAAGAATACTTGAAAAAAAAACATTTATACATATACTGGACACAATGATGTTTTTATTCATTAGAGAGGAAGGCAAAAGAAATACTTAAATATTCATTTGCAGCATGCCTGCTGTTTTGAAATCACGAGAGATGAATTATAGCATGCAGAAGGAGCTCTGTGATTCACAGGAAAATGCTGAGGTCTCTGCATTTTAGATAAGGCTGTAGCTGGATGATGTAATCTATTTGAAAACACAATTGTCAAAGGCTTATTTAATACACCGTCTAATAGGAAGGGAGACTGGGGGGAAAAAAGGCCCTTCTTCCCTATGCATTGCTTGACTGACAGAACTGTGGCTCTCGCAGCTGCTTAGCAACAGAAAACTATCATTCTCCAGCTGTGTCAGTCCTGAGAAAGAGGCAAATTCAAAATAAAAGGAGAATTTCTATTAAAATCTGAATTTGAAGTATCTGGTAGATACTTATTGTATCCTTTAGTTTTATGGAAGGGATTTAAGCATCCTCAGGTTTCCATGGAACTGTCCTTGGTGATCTTAGGGCCCACCCTCTTTCCCGTATTGCACGGTGACTTTAGTGTCCCTGTGTCAACAGTCCCCTTCACCTTGTTCCGTATCCACATCAGTTCTAAAATGAGAATTACATCCTATTGTGACCACACAGAGTTCAGAGAAACCTTGTCCCCCTCTCTTCATTATCTTACCCACTTTCTTTACTTGACTGTACTTGCTCCACTCATGTCTGTACTAATGTGGTGAAGAAACCACTCTTTATTGCCTGCTTTATAAACAGCTGTGACTTCTTCCTCTGAATGAGCACATTCATATTTCTTATCCCAGCCATGGCTGTGGGCTCAAATCTGTTTCAGGCTAAATATTAACAGAAGTGGCTGAGAAAAGATCTGTAGCCCTATAACCAGACTGGCTCCTCATAACTTCTAACATAACTTCAAATTAATGAGATTTTCAACTTCCCAGTGCAAACCTTTCTGTGAAAAAAAAAATTCACTCCTCACAGTAAATCCCATAGAACACTTTTAAGAGAGCTCCTTGCTGGGTGACTGAGTATCTCTGGATGATTGGTACCACAACTCCTGCTCCTCAGGGTCTCCCGGAGGTTTTGATGGAAGAAAAACATATCAACAGTTGATGGAGGAAGCCCTTCTATTTCTCATCTCATTTGTCTGTTGTTTTCTGACTTGATTGAATACTATTTAGAAAATTCTTACCTAAGTTTATAGTGCTTTTTTTTCATATTCCCTACATTTTCTTTTGCCACTTTTTGAGTTTCAGTTGTCCCATTGAGTGTTTGAATCTCCCTGGAATTGGTTTTCATGTAAGACAAAAGATAAAGATCAAGTTTAATTATTCTAAATTTAGAGATTCTATTTTCTAGCCACTAACTATTGAAAATGTATGTTCTCTGTTGTGTATTTTTCGAAAATTTGTCAAAAATAAGGAATTTTAAGTTATTTTTGTGAGGATAATCACCCTGAGGTGAACTATGACCATTCTAAAGAAAAACCATTGTAGTTTCCTAAAAGATGAGGGGGCCCCACAAGGATGATTCTACCTGGAGGGGTGGTAATGTCACTAAACTGACAAATACCACCCAAGTATCACTTTTACACTACAAGCTGTCTTAATGTGCTTTGAAATATTTGGGAGAATGTGATATCAGATCAATATGCAGTCTTTAATTCATGCTGATCACTGTTATTTTCGTCCATTACCCTGTTTTTTCAATTATTTTTATTTGTCATGTTCTGAAGCTTTCAGGATAGATATTATACACATGTCAAATTCATCTTTAAATGCTTTCTGGTTGGTAAGTTGTGAATTACATTTACAGTCAAGGGGGAAACAATTCAATTGAATTCAGTGAGCAGTGCCTTGAATCTCTTCAAAGGCACTGGGAAATGATTTCCACCATCACATTCAGTACCAATCTTGAGTGGTATTACCATGATAAGCTCAGGACCAAGGGCATTAGGATGCATAGTTGAAAACTATCTGTATTCTTTCATAATCAGATTGCACTATTCCCTGCCATATGAGAGCAAGGACTGCATAGACAAAGAAAGAAGGCTCGACAGTGTGTTGTGGCACAATTAATGTCCTTAAACAGGGACATAGCTTACTGAGCAGTGTGAGCACAAATTACCTACAGGACCATTAGCTGGTTCCAAAGTGAGAGAAATTACTCAACATTCTCTTTGAAGAAGCATTTTCATCATCAAAAAGCACAAGCAAAAATGCCAAAGGGAGAGGTACTTACACCAGAATAGAAAGGCTCACCAGACACACACAGTACGTCTTGCTCCTGTAGCATCAGCAGATCTCTGGCAAGATGCAGTCGGACTTTAAAAGGTTCCTGATTACCATCTTGTAGCAAGCAAACCCCTGTCTTCGACTTTAGATAAAAAGAATAAGAAAGAGAAAAATGCTCAATTCATGGGTTATGATTCTCAGAACTACTGACAGTAAAGTGTGATGGGTAACATTTTTGAGGTAAGGGCAATGCTTTAGGTTACCCACACATGACTTTACAGACATGCTAACGAATGGATAATAACTTCGAGCAATATGGAAGTCTAGATAACGGGGGCTATGCTAGAGAGACCACACTGAGACACAGGAGGAAAGACTGCATCAAACGTGCCTCATTACACTGAGAAATGATAGAAATATTAAGAGTTAAAATATGAAAGTAATAGGTACATTGAGATCTGTTTTACATTGCATGGAGTTCAACATTTTAATGTTTGTAAGTCATAGTTTGTGTACTATATTCTGGACCATGCACAAGTGCCTAATAAATTTCAAGTAACTCTGATTACTCCAAAAAGAAAGATAAGAAAGAACAATCCTACAAATCTGGTCTCTATGACTCATTCTTGAGTTAGTGAGCATTAAGTCACCTTCTGTCTTTGATATGAAATTCAAAATTGAAAAAAAAAACATGCTTAGGGTTTTCTTAGATTTCTACTATGTTATCACCTTTAGTTGTGAGCACACCCACAAATATTTTTGAATCTATAAAGAAGTGAAGATGAGGGTTTGAAAACTATATGAATGAATGGAAATATTTATAGACAGATTTACTATAAACTAGGAAAGTTTTATTTAAAGCTCGTGTATTTGCTTGACATTTTTTTTGGAATTGTGTGAACAGATTGAATACTTTTAAATTTGTCCTTTCTCATCCAATTGTGAATCAAGAAGACAATAAGAACAAAGATTACTACAAAAGCTGGTGCTTTTCTTTAATAATTACTGGTCATACTTGGCTCAATGAATTCGTATCTAGGGATGTGTACTCATCTTATTTAATGAGAGTATGTAGTTAAATAAATAATACCAAGCTTGATCTGGAATAAGATTATACATGGACATTAGCTGGTCTGTTTCCCAAGAATGTCTTATAGTGTTTATAAAAATACAATACATTTAACATCCAATATTACTCTTTGTGTAGATCATGGTAAACAGATGGATTTGTTTATTTTTGTACAAAGAATTAAATCTGGATATTTAATATTCACAACATAAAGCAATTTCAAAGCTTTTTTAGAGTTCATTGATATTTTATAGCAACCAATTCTAAGAACACCACAGGGAAAGGGACCAAAAAGACATCTGTAGGCTTTTCAAAAACTGCTGAAAATTTCAAAATTTTTATCCTAATCCCAAGATGAAATTCATTCAATAATTTTTGCAACTGAAATCAGCAACTCAGATGATAATTTTTCAAATCAACCATCATGATACACAAAATTCAAAGGTGTATTAATTTCATATTTATAAACTATGTAAGGATAGTATAAAATATTAAAGTGGCTTGTTTTTTTAAAATAAAACCACTATGTTTCCATAGGAGCAGAACTTTGTAGGTACAGTAAAAACACTAAAGCTCATAACAATTAGTAGCAGGGGATATGAGCTAAACTTTTCTGTCAGTGTGCATTGGCATCATGTGATGTGATAGTATATGCAAAGCAAAGTGTCCTGTTATATGTTAGAATCAAGTCTTCAGTAAGTCTCACAAAGAAACCCAGGAGCTGGATGCCAGAAACACCTCAGACTATGTATATATTTGATATGGAATTGAATTTTGTTTGCCTGAGTTTCACGATCCTCTTGTTTTTCCTTTGAATGGGAATCGGTGTTCTGGGTAATAAACGCCACTATTAATATTGAAAATAAATTTTTAACACAGGGTATATTCTGATTACAGTTTCTCCTACTGCATTTCTTCCAAGATCTTTCCCACCTCCCCAGCTGTCCAACTCTACACCTCCATATAATATTTTTCTCTCTCTTTAGGAAGAACCCCCCCAAAAAAAAGACAATTTAAAAAGAATCATACACAGAGAGACATAACCATAAACACACACACAAACAAAACACATAAAAACATAGACACTAAAACCATAATACACAAAGTACCAGCAAGATTTTCAAAAGCCCAAATGAAGCAATATGAGGTTTAAAAAAGAAGTAAAATTGAGTTGTTTCATATTGACCAGTTACTATTGAGCACAGGACCAACCCCAAAGTGTGATTTATATGTCCTTTGAGACTCCATAATAGAAAATTTATTTTTCTTTTGCAAAGAGTTGCAAATTGGAGATACCTTCTTAGGATTGGGAGCTCATGCCTAATTCCCCCTCTCGACTCTGGGACAAAATTAGGATAAATCTGTGCAGGAACTGAACATTCTGACAAAGCTTCTGTGAAGTCATGTGTGCATTAGTCCCCTTATGTCTGGAAATCACTCTTTCCTGGAAGTCATCTAGCTGCTCCAATTCTTACAATCTTTCACCTCCCTTTCCACATAGCCCCCTGATCCTTGGGAAGAAAAGAATTCAGTTCAGGAACCAGGGTCTTGGATGCTCACACTCTCTGCACATTGTGTTATTGTGGGTCTCTGCAAGAGTTCCCATATACTACAAGAGAAATCTTTTACGATGATGGCTGAGTGAAGCTCTGGTCTACAGGTGTAGTAGAATATCACTAAGGAGTCATTTTATTGCTGACTTACTTCAGCAGTACTTGGTTTTGCCTAGGTCCATGGACCATCTAGTCTCAGGTTCTTAACAATCCAAGCAACGTTGGTTATGGGCTTCATCTTGCAGAATGGGCTTTAAACCCAAACTGAGAGTGGTTAGTTACACCCACATTTGTACGACTGTAGCCTACAAACAGGTCGCTATCATAGACTGAAAGGTTTGTAGGTGGGTTGATCATTAGCTTTCTCCTCTGTTAGTATGCAGAGTACCTTACAGTTCAATAACTACTGGTCAGCAGAGATGAAGGCTATAGTTAAGCCCCAGCTCAACTACTCTTCTCAGTGTTCAAGAAGAAATATAAATATCTTCTTCAACAATAGAGCTTTACCCTCAGTTGGTGGAGAGCAACCAACAGCCTTAGCAATAGCCCAGGTTGTTAGGGGTTTCCATGGGAACCCTTTGGCCAACAACTGAATCATATATAAACCAATCCTGAGACTATGTTTTTACCATGGGCCGTGCATTATTAACAGCAGATGGTAATTAATATTCAAGGTGTCAGCACGCCAGGAGAAAAACTTTCTGATGGGAAAATCTCATTAGGAAAGGCCACGAGGCTACAGACTTTGGAATATCTTCTGCTTTTGTCTGTAACTTCACCTGTGATGCGGCATATTTCCCTTTATCACAGTGCGTTTGACTCTTGAGTACATCACAATCTACAGGGCATTTTTATCTGTGGATTGTCTAGAAGATGATTCATCCTTAACCTGTATTTGTCTCATGAGTACATCACAATCTCCCGGGCATTTTTATCTGTGCATTGTCTAGAAGATGATTCCTCCTTAACCTGTATTTGTCTCATGAGTACATCACAATCTACCGGGCATTTTTATCTGTGGATTGTCTAGAAGATGATTCCTCCTTAACCTGTATTTGTCTCATGAGTACATCACAATCTCCCGGGCATTTTTATCTGTGCATTGTCTAGAAGATGATTCCTCCTTAACCTGTATTGCATAATTGATATCAATAATGTTAGCTTTTATAGAATTCTGATGATTAAAAATGAATACAAAAAAATGACACAAAGTTAAAGTTTATGAGCTACTCCTAGGAGATGTTTTACATCACAGCTTAGGTTGACAGGAAACTGGTGGAATTTTCCCCAGCTGCCTAGAGAGCCATGCACTATCAGCTGAAATAAAACTTCAAAATAGCTTTACATTAAACTAGATGCCTTGCTTATGGTTCTTAAGATAAACTATTCCTAGAAATGCAATCTAGTTTACAAGGATATATAGCCAAGCTGTCTGATTTGTTGAGCCAGATTTAAGAGTGCAAAGCAAACTAATTGCTGCACACAGTTTCATTACTTGCTGTGATTGTTATCCTAGGACAGTAATTAATACAGCTTTTGTTCAGAAACACCACAGGAAGAGAAGATCTTGCTGGTCAGTGCTACAAGAAAGTAATTTGACCTCATTTCCCTGAGAAATCATTATGTTTTCTTTTTTATCATCTAGAGTTATACACAGGACAGAAAGTACATTCTGAGATTTAAAACGCTCCTAGTGTCGCAGTGCCTTGGGGAGAGCCAACTAAGCTGGCACTAAAAGATTGACAGCACCATGGGCCTAAACTAAAGAATTTATGACACATCAAACATGGCACGCACGGAGTCCAACAAAAAGCCCAGCACTGTACAACTTCTGTTCACAGAATATGAGTTCAAAATGTCTATACGATCCGAAGTATAGGTTACAGTATTTTCTTAGGCTCCTCAGTAGGTTAAGGTTATAATGCCTTTAAAACCCTTTATAAGATTTCACCTCTAGATAGATAATTAATGACTGATTCTTTCTTTGCAGCTGTAAGTTACAGGCCACCAATAAGGGGGTTGTCTGAGAAAAAGGCTACTTTCTTGACCTATGACAAGTCATTTAGATTTATTGCTTATGAGTTGTCGAGATGACTCTATTTTTATCATTTACTGAAATGTAATGTGTCTTTCATATGCGATTCCTGTATTTCCTGAAAGGTTCTGATGGGTATATCTAGCTGTGAAGAACAAAGAAAGCAAGCTATGGCAACATGAGAGAACGGAGAAGGATCTATCAGAAAAAGTGCATGAGAGTCTGTTTTCCACAAACCCTCAGATAGAAAAGTCTTAGTATGCTGACACTGCGGACTTCTTTCATATCCTGGGCAGTCTAGGAGCTGGTTTCTCTCAAGTTTGCTGTATGTTTAAAGCAGAGATGTGAGATGCCTAGTTGGGGCATTGTCTCTGCCATTACTTTGTTGACTCCATTTATATTTCTTTCAGTTATACATGTATTTAGAGAACCTTAAATTTGGGGCTGGAGAGATGGCTCAGCGGTTAAGAGCATCGCCTGCTCTT